TATATCTCATATATATACATTTGAGACGAGTGCTCACTATGTAGTTCAAGCTGGCCTTGAACTCACTATGTAGCCCAGGCTGGCTTCAAACTCCCAACAAGCCTCCTGCCTCAACCTCTTGGATTTCAGGTGTGCGTCACTGTACCCGGCAAGAAAGAATATTTAATATATATGTCAGTTTCAGTTATTTCTTTAGTTCGGTCACTGTATCTAGGACCATTCCTAACATAGTTTTCTGATGGCAGTGCAGCCTCTGATTTCCTACTTTCCCACTCCAGTGTTCATAATGTAGTCTACAAATATCTTCAAAAATGCAAATCTGAACATACTACTTTCTGTGCAAACCCTATCCAATGTTTATTATTTAGCCTTGTAAAGTGGTGGTGAACCTATGGCATACGAGTTATAGCCAGTTGTTAAGAGTGAAATATGGGGGTTGATATCATCTGGTCTCCTCTTGCTCTCTAAGCTAATTTCCTGCCCTCTTCTCCCCTTGCTCAATGCCCTGTATGCAAATGCATCCATGTGTAACCCAGTTTTATAGGCTGTCTCTGTAGGTCGTGTTAAATGTGCATCCTTTCTTGATACTGTTTTGTTTTAATTTTTAAATTTCTTTTGGTGTTTTGAAACAGGGTCTTACTATGTAACATAGTTCAGGCTGGGCTCAAACTTGAGGCCTGACTGAACTTACTGAGTGTGGGGATTACAGACATGCACTACCATGCCCAGCTCGATACTGCTTTTAAAAACACAAATTAAATCATCTATGATACTCTAACTTACTGGAAGAACAAATCATTCCTCATCCTTTATATGTGTACTTTATAATTCTAAAACATAAATATTGTACTATATATTGAATAAGGATATGCATCACAGTATTGATTATATTACAGTGATTACATCACTAAAATAAAGGTAGGCAAGTTGTTTGTTTACTGAGCCTCAGAAAACAAAACTTTAGAAAATATATAAATAATACTGTATACCTCTGAGCACTTTGTCAAGCAAAACATTTAATGAAGTACTTAATACATTACAAATGTTCAATAAATTGATAGCTTAAATGAAGCAGGCAGAAAGATTGCTGAGTTTTAGGCCAGCCTGGGCTACATAGTGAATTGAGATCTTGTCTTGAAAAGCCAAAAACAAATACAAAAAATGGCTTGAGATAAAGTTAGCACATAAAATAAATGTTAATAATTGGTGAATTTAGTGAAGGATAGACAGGATGTTTCTATGCATTGATTTTCTTCTAGGCTTGAAATTTGTCAAAAAAAAAAATTTAAGGAAAGTGAAATTGACATGTTCATTAAAAAAGTAATAAATTATATTTGTGTCCCAGCTTATTAAACTAAACAAAGTATAATCTCAGAAAATCAAAGCATTATCTGAATCAACACAATATTAAGTAAAATAAAGGAAACATTGTTCGCAATACTTCTCTCATTTCTCTCTCTCTCTCTCTCTCTCTCTCTCTCTCTCTCTTGGAATAAGGTTTTTTTTTTTTTTTTTTTTTTTTGCTCTGAATGCCCTCAGGTGTGGTTTGGCTGGCTGGAGTGTTGTGGGAATCGAACTACAGCAACCTAAGGCTGACAGCTTTGTGGAAGCAGCCACTTAAAGAACTGAGCTATGGCCAGGCCCCTCTCTCTCTTTTTTGAGGTAGGGTCTCGCTATGCAGTTCAGGCTTGGTCTTGAGCTCACTGTTTCCCAGGCTGGTCTTGAACTCACAACAATCCTCCTGCCTCAACCTCCAGAGTGCTGGGATTAAAGGCATGCACCACCACACCTGGCACCTTCTCCCTATTTTAACTTATCTTTTCTCTTTCATTCCATTAATACTTTCAACTACTTTTATTTGATAGGTGCTAGAAGGCAAAATGGCTGACTGTGGTAGAAATACAGGAATTTGTTTTTTCTTAACATTTTCCTTTTCTGTATCATATTTAAAAATGAACTGAAGCTTGAGTACAACTGTTGCATCTCTCCCCCCAAAAATCTAGAGGAATACAAATTAAAAAAGTTTCATTTGCTGAAGCTGGTTCATTAGTTCTAATTCCAACTACAACTATTCAGAGTCATACTATCAGAATGACACTGATAATATTCAAACTTTAACATCTTAATTTTTGCTGCTTTTCCTCTCCTTTGAAATATGACAAAAGGACTTTTTAAAAAAGAATTTTAGGTCACAGTACAGTTATAACCAGATAGAAAATCCACACATTTATTCCGACCTTTGCTGTGTAATGAAGAAGGATGTTACCAGGCAGTTCAGCCATGTCAGACTCTTGACATTTCCAAGGGCTTAAACAATTTGGACCTGAAAAATATTTATACACATACGTATACATCACTGACTATACATGGTCTCTTTGGTTCTATGTCATCACAGCAAATTTTAAATTAAGTTATTTCAAGCTACTCAAACAATGCAGTTAAAGTACAGTAGCTAGGGGGCTGGTGAGATGGCTCAGTGGTCTAAAGCACCTACTTGGAACAAGCTTAGCAAACCACAGGGACCACGGTTCAATCCCCCAGCACCACATGCCAGTCGGCCCCGCCCCCTGGTGGGCTGAGCTGGCCACACACATACACACACACACACACATAATAAATAAATTTAAAAAATGTAAAAAAAAATTCTAAAAAAAAATAAAGTACAGTAGCTAAAATGTACTTTAGTTTTTATATTACCTTCAATTTATTCAAAACTGAGAAAAGTTGAAGAAGGATTAACTTTTACTATATAAAGAAACTTCTATGTAGTATTAAAAAACTATTATCAAATGTAACAGTCTATATTTTATCTAATGTAAATTCAAATAACTAAAAAAAAATTGCAAAATAATGTGGGTATACATCACAGGAATGGAATAGCAAACAAGAAGAAAAAAATTCAACTTCACTAAAATTCAAAAAAGTGCAAGTCCAAACAATAATGGACATGGTCACATCATTGACCATCTCATTGAGGCTGTGGTGAGGTACAGATTCTTCTGTGTTATTATTTGAGATTGAGAATTAGTACAGCCTTTCTGGAAACTGATTATTTAACAATGCATTGACCGCCAATAATACATTCATGCATTTCAAATATTTATCCCATGAATATATGATTAAATTTTTCAAAATAAAAAACACTCCAAGAAAGAATTCATTATATTTAACACTGAGGTTTATTTTAAATTAAAAATAATAAACAACCTAAGTAAATCACTTTCTAAATTCAAAGAAATGTGCATCCTATGAAAATAATCATTTTTGACTATAAATAACAATTCTTATTTTGCCAGGTATGGTAGTGCTTGCCTGTAATCTACTCCCCTCAAAAAAAAATTCTAATTTGTAGAGTCTGGGAAGATAGCTCAGTTGTAAAAGCACCTACCTGGCAAGTGCAATGTACTGAGTTCAATGTGCAGTACAAAAAAAAAAAAAAAGAAAGAAAAAAAAGTAAGCTATACTATACTAAATGACTTATTACTAATCTGAATTTGGACATAAGTCATTTTCAAGTATTTTGGTATTTCAAAAATGGTAAGGTTCCAGTAAAAACATTGAAAGTCTGCATATTCTCATTCATCTCAAAACTCTCATGCAATCTAAAAAAGATATTTTCACCAAAAATAAGGTACTCTACAGTTAATATACACTATGTGATGTTTTGGTTTGTTTTATGACATGAGGTTTTGTTATGTAGTTCAGGCTGGCCTTGAACTCACAGCTACCTTTCTGAATCCTGCGATTACAGGCATGTACCAACATGTCAGCAATGTACATCAGTCTTAAAGGCTTAACTTTTGAGCATGCTACTAGAATATAATTTTGAAAGTAGGGTATAGTAACAATGTGTATATTTAAAATCACAGCCAAAAGAAAAGTCAAATCAAGACTTTTTCAAGATAAGTATGTACTCTTATCCAACATCTCCTAATTCTACTATCTTCATGAATTCTTCAGATTAAAAAATTGTAAAATGTTATATCTTGGATCAAGACTCATGATTTTTTAATTAGTTATCTGATTTCTATGAAGGCAGACATATTTCATTTCATCAGTTTATATGCCAAAAATACAACAGTGTTACAGGTGAAACTGTGTACCCCCTAAAATTCATGTTAAAGCCAAAAATCTACAGAGTGACTATTAAGAAATAAGGTCTTTAATGATATAAACAAAATTAAATAATGTCATAAGATGGGGCTCTAATCTAATAGGGCCCCTTAGAAGAAAAGAGATAACAGTTGTCTTTTTCTGTTACCATATGTACAGAGAAAAGAATAGGTGAGAACCCAATAAGTAGGCTGCTATCTACAACCAGAAAAACGGCAGGGAAATAACTCAGCAGCATAAGCATCTGCCTGCCAAGTACAAGGTCCTGAGTTCAATCCCTGGTACCAAAAAAAAAAAAAAAAAAAAAAAAAAAAAGAAAGAAAGAAAGAAAGAAAAAGAAAAAAATACAATCAGGAAAACAAGTTTCATTAAAAAAATCTTAATGATGGTATACTTCCAGTTTGCAAAACTGTGAGAAAATAAATTTCTACTATTAAAACCAGAGTTGGTAGGGTATGATGCTATGGGAACTCTAGAAGAATAACATAAGCAATATAATGAATAAAATTTCAAGTATTTCCTAAAGCCTTGCTTTACTTATGCTGAACAAAGGAAGGATGGAAGGAAGGAAGGAGAAAATAAAGGAAGACTGTATGTGATAAACCTTTTTTTCCCTTTCAGCTTCAATTAAAACAGAAACAACTTAAGTACATTATATAAACATTATATCATCCCATATAAACATGGGAGTATTTTTTAAATGGCAGTACAGTACCGAAACTTTTCAAACAGAAACAACTCTACATGCAACTGAACAGCAGGACTGATCATACACCCTTACCTGCTAAGTATAATACTTTCACCTGAGGAGGTTGCAGTGCTTCACAGAAGATAATAACAGACCCCAGCTGACCCTCCAGGGATGTGGGGCATCCCCACTCACTGTCTTGGGTTCCAGCAGATATCAACTTAGTAACTGATTTTGATTTTTCAACTGGTCCTCCCCAGGATGCTGATGACAGAATTCCTCCAAATGTTGTCCGATGAGGAGTAATGGGAGAAGAGAAAGGTGGATCTGGGATCTGAGATGGTGGGGGAGTGGTGGTTCTTTGCCCAGCAGAACCAATACAGCAGGAAGTGAAAGGCTAAAAAATAACAAACAAAAATCATGCCATTTAAAATAAGTATCTAAAAAAATAACAATAAAATAAATGTCTTTATATTTAAAATTAAACCGTAGGGAGCTGGGAACGTAGCTTAGTGCTACAACACTGGCCTAACATGTACAAGGCCCTTGCTGTGATCCCTAAGAATGCTAAGTAAGTACAATTAAAAATTAAAAGCAAAACAATGAAATAGCAGACAAAATTAAGTGAATAGAATAAAAATAAAAATAAAAGTAGATGTAATTTTATTTTTATTCTCTCTCTCTACCACGCATTTTATTTTCATAATTCCTTCATACACAGCTACATCCCTAGCCCAATGTATTTTGAGACAGGGTGTTGGTAAGTTGGTAAATTGTAGGACCTGGGCTTGAACTTATGATCTGCCCACCTCATCCTCCCAGAGAGTTTGGATTACAGATACATATTATTACACCTGGCTCCAGGAAATAAATTCTATCTTATACCTAGCTATAATATGAACTTTGAAATTTCATTTCATTTCAAATTTTGTGAAAATGGAAAAGAATCCATGATAATATCTTGTGAGTAGTTTATATACTGGGAAGGCTTATGAAATACTACTTTGATAGATTCATTTCTTTGCCTATCCTGTTAGGTCTTTTTCCTGAGTCTTCACATTTCAATCGTACTTTTAACGCATTATCTAGTATCACCTAATGATACGCTAACAGAAATATTAACTTACTGTATATTAATATCTAATACAAAAAACATTTAAAAAATTTCTATATTAGCTGAAAATTTTTAGGAATTCTCAATCAATTAAGCCTTTAAAGAATAGGTTAGATACACTTACTTCATTTATGGCAGGAAATCGGAGCGGGGCTGAGACCTTTGGTTGTCCATTGTCATAGATATAGACAAAACTCTGTCCAAAGGGCCTTTTTCCAGGGATGTGAACAATGGTTATGTTGTGCTGGTGAGGCAAAACATATATTTCAAATGCTAAAGTCACATCATACTTTTGAAATAAATGTTTACAGAGTATTATTCTATAACTCATTTGTATGAACAAAGATTAACCACAGTTTAACAATGATGTTTTCCAAAATTGAACATTTTTTCTTTAAATTCAAATTATAATGCAGCATCTTTTCTACACTTTCCAAGACTGTGATTATTCTTTAAAATCAATTTTTGTAGTTAGAAGCATTTTATATTTTTAGAAATGCAAAGAGGCAGTTTTAATAACCTCTTATTTTGCACTGAAATAATCCAACCTGTTTCTTGAAAATCTTATCATAATCTTTTAGTTTTTAACAGAAAATAGTAATTAAATTTGTGACGGTGACAGTAAACAGTACTAACATTTTTTTTGTACAAGAATCCAACTCATGACCTTGGGCTTGCCAATCCAGGCAGGCTCTTATGTCACTGAGCTATCTCTCCAGTCCTGTACTAACTTCTTTACAAATTTCAGTATGAATAAAACTTCAAAGTAAACATTCACTATCAAAAAGGAAATGAAAACTCCTTATGAACATCCATAAAAATGTTTTAAAGAAAAGAAGGAAGAAGTTAAATATGATGGCCTAAAACCTTACCCAAAGAGAATCACAAAAACAGTGGTCAGGAAGCATAACCGTTGCATATTCTCTTTTTGTGCACACTGCCACAACCAACATACCTGAATGGGTAATAAAAGCTTCAAAACCTATGCCACTTCCTGTAAAAAAGCTAACAAAAATAAATATTATCAAAACTCTGAAGTCAGCTGTTCAGTTTCATCATTACTGAAACACATGAAACCATGAACATTTTGATTAACAATGCTATTACTTAGGGGCCGGGGAGATGGCTCAGTGGAAAAAGCGCTTCCCAGGCAAGCGCAAGGGCCTGGGTTCAATCCCCGGTTCTGCCAAAAAAAAAAAAAAAACAAAACAAAAAAAACAATGCTATTACTTAAATATTCCTGGTATATATCAACCAAACCATGTTTCAAACAGTTTTAAATTTTTTGGGGGGCATAAGAGATAACATTATAAGTGGAATTCCATTGACAAACTATAGCAAAACTATAAATTTTCATTTTTTTTCTTTTTTTGTCTTTTTGAGACAGGGTCTCATTACACAGCTCAGACTGGCCTTGAGTTTACTTTGTAGCCCAGGCTGGTCTTGAATTCCCAACAATCCTCCTGCCTCAGCTTCCTAAGTGCTGGTGTTATAGGCGTGTGTCACTATAACCAGCTTGCTTTGTTTTTTGAGACAGAGTCATGGTTTGTAGTTTAGGCTTGCCTTGAACTCACTATGTATTCCAGGCTGGCCTCAAACTCATAGCAATTCTCCTGTCTGTCTCCCTGAATGCTGGGATTCTAAGTGTACCACACAGCTTAAATTTAAAATCTTCAAAATTCCTCCAAAAGATTCAGAAAACATACATAAAGGTATTAAAAAATCACCAGGCATAACAAAAATTATTATCTACTGATGTTTGGATGCACTTACACATAAGTTTTCCTGTCATTCATATAAACATGGGACAGACTATCACAGAAGTTTATTATTCTTTTAGTTTTCACTTTTACTATCATTTTAAAAATGGTACTATACTTTTGTTACTTAAATTTTAGTTTCTGAATAGATGTGTATAGTACATGGTTACATTACTTGAGGGAAGTTGGTATATATATATACATATAACAAATTACATTTATGAAACTATGTTTCCAAACTAATCTCAGAACTTAATAAGCAAAATGTATAAGACATATAATTATTATGAAAGCAATAAATTACTTATAATGAAATTGTGTGCAGCCGAAAGATGACTAGGATTCAGAAAAATTGTTATACATTTAAAAACTATATGCTCAGAGAGGCTTTTTCCTGCTTAAGAAATCATAGCATATAAAGTTAAACCAATAATCACATATGTTTCACAATTTGTACTATTACCTGTATAACTGTTTTCTTTTTCCTCCTTTGCTAGCCATGCCAGTATTCAATTGATCTTGATCTAAGCAAAACCAAGCACTGAAAGAAAAGGCAGACCCTGGCCATTTCTGTATAGAAGGCACAGAAATTCCTGCCATACTATGTGATAAATTAAAATACTGCAGTGCACTCTCAAGACTCAGTTTTCGGGCCATTGTTAGGATAGCTCGAGTCACAGGAGGGGTGTAAGGGTGAATAACCTTACATTCATCCACTCTCAGCAAGCTTAGCAGTCGACGGACTTCTTCTGAGCTTACTGACTGACTCCCTAAGGAACCATGAATTGCAATCAAATTCTCAGCACAAGTACGATGGAGGGAAGAATGGGAATCAAGGGTTTCAATGATCTTAACTCCCATGTTTGCATTGACACAAATAGTTCGACTCTGCCTATTAATACAACAAATTCTCTTTAGCCAATCAGAGATGAAGACTTGCAGGTCATGAGATTCTAGCTCTGGAAGCCACTGGATAAGAAGCGAGAGAGGGTGGACATTACTAATTCCCAAAATCCCAACTGAAGTATGGTCACCCTCTACAGCCTACAAAACATAAGAGAAAGAGATTAGTTACTATTTTTTAAATGGTAGTACAGTACTGGAACTTCTATAATTTTTGAAAACATTTAATTCTTTCAATTTTGGTAGGAAATTTCTTTTAACACAGGTTAAAAACTTACCATATTCATGAGTTCTTTAAGTAGTTCCAGGGATGGCTGACCCAGAGACTTTAATACTTCAAACATATGTGTGTAACCAATTCTTTCTTTAAATACTTCCTAAAGGGGGAAAATAATAACAAAGTCTATTTTAAATGACTAAGTTTATTGTAATATTAAAATATTGACTACCCATTTAAACTAGTGGTTTATAATATATATAATGGTATATTCCATCATGTTACCTCATAGCATGAGGTAAACTCATTAACAATATTAAATGATTATGAATTCAGTATTTGTTCTATTAAACTCATATTCATTTTAAAATAGATCTCCTATACCTTCTAAAATAAATTATAATCACCTACCAAACAGCAAAATAAAGTGAAATTAGCAATAATTGTCAATAATTATTTCATCATTTACAGATTACAGAATGATACTTCTTTTATTTTCTTAATTTGACTTGTAAAATGAAGCTAAAACAAAAAACATAAATAAATGAGGTGACTTCATGGATGAGAGCTATGAGACAACAGCCTCAAAGGACTAGATTCAGGAATTTTAAGTAGTGGCAGAAAAAAACTCAAGTACAAAGTTTTTTCTCTTTGCTCTTTGTATCTAAATTATGTGTAGCATCAAATTCATTTTAGGAAGCTTTAAGGGTCACATATATCATTAAATCAAAAGCAATGAAGTAAAATACAAAGACATAGAAGTCTAGAACATATTAAATTAGTCCATTAAATTATGGAGGAAATAGCTGCACTCATTATAAAATCAAAGATTTAAGTAAAGCCAGTAAGATTGGCTATCTTTAAGAAGGGGAACTAGTTGCATACGAGTTAAGGACAGGAAAGAAATCATCTCAAAAAATAAATTTTTTTTTTGTATTTAAACTTTAAACCATGAAAGTGTAGTACATAGTCAACAAGAAATTATCTTTAAAAAGACTTGAAGACCTTCTTAGCTTTAAATTTCAGAATGCAGTACAGGCAATGTTATAAACCAATTGCTTAGCTCTTAGAATGATTTCTTTCATATAGATGCTATTACTAAATAGAGATTAAAGCCACAACTAAAAATTTAGAAAGTCTATTCAACAGGAACCTCATTGTAAGTAGTAACATTTCTATGGCAAAAACCAATGGAAACTAAGGAATACAAAAGACTGCAGGGATCAGGATCAATAGCCTCAAAGGACTAGACTTGGGTATTTTAAGTAGTGGCAGAAAAAACCTCAAGTACAAAGTATTTTCTCTTCACTCTTTGCATCTAAGTTATGTGCAGCATCAAATTCATTTTAGTCACATATATTACTAAGCCAGTACATACTCAAAAGCACTTGAAATAAATCAATAAATAATTGATTTATTTTATAATTGAAAAGTGAAGCCTGAAGTAGAGTGGGGAAATGAAAAAGTGAAGTAGTAATTATTTCACTAATATTTACTAAGAACTTACCAGGTGCCTGGCATTTTGCTTACTGATTACCTAAGATGGTCTCACTAACCCTGAAAACTACTCAGTGAGGTAATTCTCAGCATAACTACAGAAGGACAACAATCAGATGTACAAGTAGAAAGCCCTGAGGATTAGTGCCTACACAAGAAGTAGATTCCTTCTTGAAAAAATGTGTCACATTACTACATGCAGAAAACGTTCATATCTATAAGCTGATTAAATGAAATGATTATTTTATTAAGAAAATCTATGAAATAAAAAATTCAGTCACCATATAAAGTGACCATTTGAATAACAGTGCTACTTTTCTAGTATTTTCCTTTTATGTTGCGGGGGATGGTACTGGTTTCAATCCAGAGCCTGGCATATGCTAGGCAAGCCCTATGCCCTATCCCCTTTAAAATTTTGAGACAGGGTCTTTTTAAGTTGTGCAGGATGGCCTTGAACTTGCAAAAAGTTTTCTTTCTAGCCTCCTGAGTAGCTGGGACTACAGGTGTGACCACACCTGACTATCTTCCCTTTCTGTGGTCAACACTGGAAATCTTTCCTGGTTTGCAGCCCAGAAATCAATTATTCTAAAATTTTGCACTGGAGGGGTTGTCCTTAAAATTATTAACAAATTGTTCTTATACTAAGGTATTATGTGAACACTTTAATTTCAGATGTTATTAAACCATATGTATTATATATTTTCATATACCACTTCAGGATTTTTAAGGAGAAAACTGGTCACATGTAAGACATTTTAAAGCTTGGGAAAATATATTTCACCTTAGCAGCTGGAGATTTGTTCATTATTGCAGTCAAAGCCTGAATGGTTGATATAGCCAGACAATCCAACTGTCCCTGAAACACCTACCAAAGAAGGCAGGGAGGGAAAGAGTTAAATATATAAACAACATTTTTATTCAGTTAGGAAACCTTTGTTCTGAAAAACTGAAAAAGAATGCTCAACATGCATTCCATTTCTCTTCCAATGAAATGGATTTCTGAAATACTATTACCTGCAAGAAAAGTTACCTTCTTAACAGAAGATAAGCCACGTATGTCAAGAAAAGGAAACATTCATTCATCACATTAAATATTTTGAGGAAAAAAAAATAAAAACAAACACCAAGCTCAAGACATGCTTTTCAAAAATAATCAACAATCTCAAGAGGAAGGGAGGGAGGTCTATAAGTGGAGTTTCTTTTGTTTTAATTGCCCTTCAACAATATACCTGCAATATACAGCCTTAAGTTCTATTAGCATACAAAGTAAGATAGCCAAAATAACCTTGTTCACTTGGTTTCCAAACTCTACCAAAAATGAAATGGTATACACATATACTGATTAATCATTATTCTTGTCATGTCCAAATGGTCTCTAATACCTAATAATAATGATTTATTTAAAAACACATGAAATGGCTTATAATTTTCTTTTTATAAATTTTCAAGCAGATACAGAAAGTTAAACATGAATCTGACATTTTTCATGTGTTTGAAAAGGCAATCTTTAATACCAAAGGTTTTAAGAGCCAAAAAGTAACTCTATTTTGTCTAGCACTATAGAAGCTTCATCATAAACAAAAGATGTATTAAATATCATGGCAGTGTACTTACAGCAAAACCCCAAAACACCAACAATATTAAAAAACTGAACATTACTGCAGTAACAACAGGCTTAGTCAATCTTGAGAGCACAGAATGAGAACTACAAGGCTGTAAAAATAAACAGTCCTCAAAATCAGCTTTCAGGCCAGGGAGATGGCTCAGTAGAATAAGCGCTTCTCTGGCAAGCGCAAGGGCCGGAGTTCAATCCCCGGTTCTGCCAAAAAAAAAAGTTAAAAAAAAAAAAAAAAGATAGAAAATCAGCTTTCAGGAATATATAATTACAATCTGAAGCCTGTCATTTTACAAATAGTTTCCCTCTCTACCCAACAAAATTGATTATTTGAGTACAAAGGGAACTGCTTTCATCTTTGTAATCTAAATTCTACCATTCTTATGCAGATTACTTAATCTAGAACCCTAGTTTTTGTTATGTATTTTGTACAAATATCTAGATTTTGTCCACGATGAGAAAACCAAAAAGATCTCACTACACCTACTATTTGGAACTATAAATTTCTAGACTATTATTATTGTTTTGTTATCTGTATAAAGAGGCCTTCACAAGGATGAAACATTCAGAGAAAACTAAAACAGCATAGCACTCTGAATTGGTATTTTACATCCAGAATGGAAAAGGACAGAACAGAGTAAACATTTTTTATATCACAATTCTGTAAACCCAGACATAATAAAAGTAAATTCTCTCATGACATTTTAGGCAAGAAACAGAACAGAGTTTTTTTGTTTTTTAAAGACAGATCTCACTATATAGCTCAGGCTGACCTTGAACTCATGATCCTCTTGCCTCAGCCTCTTGAAATCTGGCATTATATATGTACATCATCACATCCAACTACACAGCAATTTTTTAAGAACTAGTTTAATGTATGAGAAGCAACATAAACAACAATTTTTCCTTTATTTTAGCTTTATATAGTTGAAATTTTAGAATATAAAAACTAAATTTTATGCTAAATCAAACTCAAAAAGTTCAACATCTTCTTCCCTTCCTCTAAGATTTGTGTTGCCCATTAAATTACAATTATTACTTGTCAATAAGAAGCAAAGAATCAAGATATTAAAAATAAATAATTCATATTCACAAACAAAGCCCAGAAGTCCCAATACACCATAGTGCTTAGAAAAGGAAGCCCTCAAATATGAAGTTACCACCAGGTGGACAGAATTGATACTGGAATCCCATTTCTGTACTTTGTATCTCCTCGAATGAATGGAAAACACACACAAATGGAATGGCATTGATTTTATCATGCACTAAGACTTTATCCTTTAGATGGAAGCAAATTTTAAATTTTATATAATTTTCAAAAATAACTAGTGAATATTAGAAATTGATATTTATACATTTTAAGAAATAAGAAAAGTACAGGAATGGTTATTCCATTGACTGATTTTGGCCTTCAGCTGAAACAAGATGCAGGTTTTGAAGATACCTGGTCCTCATTCATTTCTGTCAGTAATTTGTTGGTAAGGTCTTTATCGCTCTTGTCTGCCACCTTATTGTTAGCATTTAAAAATAGCTGTTCAAAACAGAGACAAGAATAATGGAGAAAGAACATTAAATTGTTACAGGGTATACAAGCAGGGTGAATCCTAAATGGATTTCTGTGTCTCTTGAAAATAAACCCAAGAATCCCCTTATGAAGTATACCCTTCTGAAAACTGAAGATTATTTGTATTTTGGACTATGAACTAATATTATATGTATTTTTCCCTTAGAATTCATAGTTATTAAAATAAGAAAAAGCAGCAACAATTAGAAAGTTATTTTTCCTAAATTCTTAATCAGTAGATGTCTCATAGAAGGAAAGTTGCTACTGAAACAATAAAAAGATGTAATAAACAACACAATCAAGTTTGCAAAATGACATTAAGCTTACTTTTCATAAGGTTTTTTCTGGAAATAATTCTCAATAGGCTATCATGTACTCTGGTAAGGAATGTCGATGTGCAGCATTTCCCAAATTTATCTGCTTGAATATTTTGTTAAATATTGTTTAAAGATATTCTCCAAAGTCATCAGTGCTGAACTTAATTTGCATTAATTTGTATTCTGGAAAAGAAGGCTAGGATTATCTCTGGTGCACATGGCGAATATCTTTTTCTGAATAGAAAAAGAGAAATCAAGTAGCTTCAGTGCACAGAATTTAGCATCCCAAAAGGCCTTGGCTTCTATCATAGTTCAGATAAACAGAAAGCTAACAAATAAAAGTGAAAGGGAGAGAAGGATTTGTAAAGAAATAAATTAAGAGACTCTCAAAGAGGAAGTTCTTAGGAAATTCTGTCATTTCAGAAATGAGAGAACAGAGGTTTGATAACATGCTAAAATACTTAGTATAAAATAAACTGGAGAGAAGTACTACAATACGATAGAATATGTGTAAAGCTTAATAGAACAAAAATGAGAGACCTAGATTGGAATTTTTTTCACTATTTCTTGGCAATGGTTTTATTCTATGTATATATGTATGTATGTATGTATGTATGTATATATTTTTATGTATTCAGTACAGGGTCTACAGGGTCTCACTACACAGACTGAAGTTGTAGTGATCTTCCTGTTTCCAGCCACCCAAGCTCTGGGATTACAGGCTCACACCACCACACCCAGTCTAAATTGCAGTCTCAGTGTGCCCTGGGCATCTGCTTTAATTTGCTGAGCTATGTGGCTGGCCCTTGTGGCTGTGATTTTAAGAAAAAATACTTAATTACTTTAAGCTTGTTCTCTCAAAAAATTAGAAAATTAATCAGCTACAAAATTAAATGACAAAAACTATATTAGCTTTATGCATGTGGTATCTAGCACAAAACAGGAACTTGAAAATAAAAAGTTGCTGATTCCCAATACTGCAGAAAGAAAACTAAATAAATGCTATTATCAGCAAAGATTCCATATATTAGGTGCAAGGAAACAAAAATGCTCAGGCAAAACTAATGAAAGTTGCAGCCATCCTACTTTGTGTAAGCATAATGTGATGTTCACAGAGTGATGAAATCAACTAAAAAAAAAAATGCATTTCTCAGAAAATAGCATTATCATGGGATGCTGGACTGTATTCACTTACCATGTTAGGAAATTTTGACAGTTTTGTAAAATATACTGCTTTTGTCAGTTTTATTGTATTTGAGTTTCATGTACTGAAGAAAAAAGTCCATCCTAATTTACATATATATATATATATTCCCCCCCATACCAGGGATCAAACTTGGGACCTTGTGCTTGCTAGGCAGGTGCTTATGCCACTGAGCTATCTCCTCAGCCCTATATATTTTAGTAAATTTCATTTTATCACTCAATTGGTCTACAGTGCTAATAAAGCCACACTGCTGTTTTACAATAAAAAGTTCTATAAACATGGCAGTTACGGTATTTTCATCTCTTTATGATGTCTTTCATATAGATAATATAAAGAAAGGGGAACACAGCCTCTTGACTATCTAGTACAATGTGGCAATTTCCCTGACTTTGTACATACCAATATAGTCCTTACAACTGTACATCATTTTTTCTGTACAGTAAAAGGTCAGCAATGAAGTGACATCAACATTTTTTTTTCTTTTTTATTTTTTTGTGGAACCGAGGATTGAACTCAGGCCCTTGCGCTTGCCAGGGAAGCGCTTATTCCACTGAGCCATCTCCCCAAACCCGACATCAACATTTTCAAGACTATTCCTCTTAACAGTTTGGAAAAAATCAGAATTAAACTCTAGTGATTATGGCAGGAAGTCCATGAATGAAATAAAGTACTTCAAATAGAAAGGTAAAAGCTCTCTGAAGTAGTTTCATTTACAAAGACTCCATAAAAAGCTCTGTAAAATAAAAAATTGATACTACCTTGGAACAGATGAAAATATATAATAAGCAAAGACATTTGTTATTATTTACTCTCATGCATTGTTGCTACAAGTATAAATTAGTTAAAAAAATAAAGCAAACTGGACAACATATGAAGGATTTACTTTTGTATATTTTCCAAATAGTGGTAACTTGCTTTCATACAATGCTTCTCTATTTAAAAAAAAAACAATAATAGCTTGTGCTTCGACTAGTAATTATAGTAGGAAGTACGTACTTGACAGAATTTGAAAGCCATATGATAGAGAAAACCTAAAAATTAGTAATGAATTATTAGATAAATACTACATGAACTTAACAGTCTGGACAATAAAATCTTAACACATGAAGATAAAATATGCTACATAAAAATTATGTGCATCAAATACATAAGATGTTAATGA